TATATTAGGTGGGTGTGTCCTCCATGGGTTGTCAGGGCCACACTTATAGACAATCTGAACGCTCTGTACGATTCAAGTTATTTTATTACTGAAATGATACATCTCAGTCCCACGTCTTGGGGAAATAACATTATAAAAAAATCTCTCTAGAGACCCATGGATATAATAAACACTTAGTGTAGACGTAAAAAAGGCAGCAAGTGTGAGAGCGGAACCCTGTGTGCGCAAAGACTGTGCGGACGCGGCACTTCCTCCGATCCATGGTACGATGGTAAGGGGTGGAACTTCCTTCTATCCATGGTATGATGGTAAGGGGCGGCACTTCCTCCTATCCATGGTACGACGGTAAGGGGGGCGGTTCCTTCTAAGGGATGGTAAGGGGCGAAACTTCCTTCTATCCATGGTACGACGATAAGGGGCGAAACTTCCTTCCTATCCATGGTACGATGGTAAGGGGCGGCACTTCCTTCTATACATGGTACGATGGTAAGGGGCGGAACTTCCTTCTATCCATGGTACGACGGTAAGGGGCGGAAATTCCTTCTATCCATGGTACGATGGTAAGGGGCGAAACTTCCTTCTATCCATGGTACGACGGTAAGGGGCGGCACTTCCTTCTATCATGGTACGATGGTAAGGGGCGGCACTTCCTTCTATCCATGGTACGACGGTAAGGGGCGGAACGTCCTTCTATCCATGGTACGATGGTAAGGGGCGGAACTTCCTCCTATCCATGGTACGATGGTAAGGGGCGGAACTTCTTTCTATCCATGGTACGACGGTAAGGGGCGGAACTTCCTTCTATCCATGGTACGACGGTAAGGGGCGGCACTTCCTCCTATCCATGGTACGACGGTAAGGGGCGGAACTTCCTTCTATCCATGGTACGATGGTAAGGGCGGAACTTCCTTCTATCCATGGTATGATGGTAAGGGGCGGAACTTCCTTCTATCCATGGTACGACGGTAAGGGGCGGAACTTCCTTCTATCCATGGTACGATGGTAAGGAGCGGAACTTCCTTCTATCCATGGTATGATGGTAAGGGGCGGAACTTCCTTCTATCCATGGTACGATGGTAAGGGGCGGAACTTCCTTCTATCCATGGTATGATGGTAAGGGGCGGAACTTCCTTCTATCCATGGTACGATGGTAAGGGGCACCACTTCCTCCTATTCATGGTATGATGGTAAGGGGCAGGAACTTCCTCCTATCAATGGTATGAGGGTAAGGGGCGGCGCTTCCTCCTATCCATGGTATGATGGTAAGGGGCGGCGCTTCCTCCTATCCATGGTATGACGGTAAGGGGCGGCTGATGGTGCTGTTTGTTGTCATCGCCAAGAGCTCCCACCTGAAGGAAAGCACAGTGAGGAGGGCAGCATGCACCCTCTGCCTAACCCTTCTGACCCCTCCCACGTTTGTCTACTGACCCTGCCCACATCCATCTACAGACCCCCCCTACTTCTGTCTACTGATCCAGTTTAAGGGTTGAACTGCATGGACTTTCGTCTTTTTTTCAGCCAGACTAACTATGGAACTATGCAACTATGTTCTGTTTCCACGTCTTCTTCCCAAACCCTCCTACTTTCACCAAGTGAACCCACCCAAATCCACCTCCAACCTTCTCCTGGTTCATTCTATGGACCCCCCCACTACCATCTCCAACCTTCTCCTGGTTCATTCTATGGACCCCCCCCACTACCATCTCCAACCTTCTCCTGGTTCATTCTATGGACCCCCCCACTACCATCTCCGACCCTCTCCTGGTTCATTCTATGGAACCCTCCCACTACCATCTCCAACCTTCTCCTAGTTAATTCTATGAACCTCCCCACTACCATCTCCAACCTTCTTCTGGTTCGTTCTATGGACCCCCCAACTACCATCGCCAACCTTCCCTGGTTCATTCTATGAACACCCCACTACCATCTCCAACCTTCTTCTGGTTCGTTCTATGGACCCCCCCCAACTACCATCTCCAACCTTCTCCTTGTTCATTCTATGGACCCCCCACCACCACTACCATCTCCAACCTTCTTCCTGGTTCGTTCTATAGACCCCCCCCCCACTACCATCTCCAACCTTCTCCTGGTTCATTCTATGGACACCCCCACTGCCATCTACCGTCTCCAACCTTCTCCTGCTTCATTCTATGGACCCCCCCCCACTACCATCTCCAACCTTCTCCTGGTTCATTCTATGGAACACTCCCCACTGCCATCTCCGATCTTCTCCTGGTTCATTCTATGGACTCCCCCACTACCATCTCCAACCTTCTCCTGGTTCATTCTATGGAACCCCCCCACTACCATCTCCGACATTCTCCTGGTTCATTCTATGGACTCCCCCACTACCATCTCCGACCTTCTCCTGGTTCGTTCTATGGGCACCCCCCACTACCATCTCTGACCCTCTCCTGGTTCATTCTATGGACCCCCCCACTACCATCTCCAACCTTCCTCTGGTTCATTCTATGGACCCCCCCACTACCATCCCCGACCTTCTCCTGGTTCGTTCTGTAGAACCACCAGTACCACCTGCAGCAGACCCCTTTGTGATTTATCAGCTAATCTCATCCACCTTTACACTCCTCTCACCTGATGTCATGAGGCAGACATGACTGGTCCAGATTGTAATTTAATACTGCCAGCTTACAGAGCGTCTTCAGACTGGGATCTGGAAAACAGAAATCATCACCAGACCACCCATACCTGACATAGGGGCAGAGATCTCCGGACAGACATCCGGACAGCATGCAGAGATCTCCGGACAGACATCCAGCCAGCATGGGATCTCCGGACAGACATCCAGCCAGCATGCAGAGATCTCCGGGACAGACATCCACAGCATGCATGCAGAGATCTCCGGACAGACATCCAGCCAGCATGCAGAGATCTCCGGACAGACATCCAGACATGCAGAGATCTCCGGACAGACATCCAGCCAGCATGCAGGGATCTCCGGACAGACATCCAGCCAGCATGCAGGGATCTCCGGACAGACATCCAGCCAGCATGCAGAGATCTCCGGACAGACATCCACACAGCATGCAGGGATCTCCGGACAGACATCCACACAGCATGCAGAGGGATCTCCGGACAGACATCCAGGGACAGCATGCAGGATCTCCGGACAGGACATCCAGGACAGCATGCAGGGATCACAGCAGATCTCCGGACAGAGCATCATCCGGACAGCAGATGCATCTCCGGACACAGACGGACCAGCATGCAGGGATCTCCGGACAGACATCCGGACAGCATGCAGGGATCTCCGGACAGACATCCGGACAGCATGCAGGGATCTCGGACAGACATCCGGGACAGCATGCAGGGATCTCCGGACAGACATCCCGGACAGCATGCAGGGATCTCCGGACAGACATCCGGACAGCATGCAGGGATCTCCGGACAGACATCCGGCCAGCATGCAGGGATCTCCGGACAGACATCCGGACCATGCAGGGATCTCCGGACAGACAGCAGCATGCAGGGATCTCCGGACAGCACATCATCCGGCCAGCATGCAGGGATCTCCGGACAGCAGCAGGGATCATCCGGACAGACAGCATGCAGGGATCTCCGGACAGACAGACAATCCCCAGCATGCAGGGATCTCCGGACAGACATCCGGACCATGCAGGGATCTCCGGACACAGACATCCGGACAGCATGCAGGGATCTCCGGACAGACATCCGGACAGCATGCAGGGATCTCCGGACCAGCCGGACAGCATGCAGGGATCTCCGGACAGACAGGACAGCATGCAGGGATCTCCGGACAGCATGAGGGATCCCGGACAGCATGCAGGGATCTCCGGACAGACGGACAGCATGCAGGGATCTCCGGGCACAGACATCCCGGACAGCATGCAGGGATCTCCGGAGGGATCTCAGCATCCAGGGATCTCCGGACAGCATGCAGGGATCTCCGGACAGACATCAGCATGCAGGGATCTCCGGAGACAGGACAGCATGCAGGGATCTCCGGACAGACATCCGGACAGCATGCAGGGATCTCCGGACAGCATGCAGGGATCTCCGGACAGCATGCAGGGATCTCCGGACAGCATGCAGGGATCTCCGGACAGCATGCAGGGATCTCCGGACAGCATGCAGGGATCTCCGGACAGCATGCAGGGATCTCCGGACAGCATGCAGGGATCCGGACAGCATGCAGGGATCTCCGGACAGCATGCAGGGGATCTCCGGACAGCATGCAGGGATCTCCGGACAGACATCCGGACAGCATGCAGGGATCTCCGGACAGACAGGGATCTCCGGACAGCATGCAGGGATCTCCGGACAGACATCCGGACAGCATGCAGGGATCTCCGGACAGACATCCGGACAGCATGCAGGGATCTCCGGACAGACATCCGGACAGCATGCAGGGATCTCCGGACAGACATCCGGACAGCATGCAGGGATCTCCGGACAGACATCCGGACAGCATGCAGGGATCTCCGGACAGACATCCACACAGCATGCAGGGATCCCTGGACAGACATACAGACGGTGGGATGGTGCTCCATCTACTTACTGAAGTCCAGGATATAGAGATCCGAGTGATCCGTCAGGTTGAACTCATCATGGGGATCCTGGTCCTGGGAGGGGCTAAAGACAGGAAGGAGAGCATTGCACAATCATTTGAGCTCGTCTTGCCAATCATGTCTCTCATTGTTACCATAACAACCTGACCGATCCCTCCTCCCCCCTCATGTCTGCTTGTCCTAAAGTTCCATAACTGTCATCCATGCTCCTCCCCCATTGTCCCATCATCCATGCTCCTCCCCCATTGTCCCATCATCCATGCTCCTCCCCCATTGTCCCATCATCCATGCTCCTCTCCCACTATCACACCTATCATCTATGCTCCTCCCCCACTGTCACACCTATCATCTATGCTCCTCCCCCACTGTCACACCCCTAATCTGTATTCGCTCCTCCCTTAGTGTAACCATCAGACAGAACCAATGGTGATAGTAGGTCTCGGAATCTTCTTACCTGGTGCCTCCAAAAAGCAGGATTTTGTCACCTACAATGCAACAGCACTGTCTGCGCCGAGCGCACGGACCTTTTCCCTGGACCTCCACACGCTGCCAGCGACCCGAATCTGAGACATCAGACAAGACATGTTTAGAATCGGCCCTTCTCAATGTACCACCCATAACGTGTGACCACCCATCCCAATGTCCCACCCATAACACGACCGCCCATCCCAATGCCCCACCCATAACGCATGACCGCCCATCCCAATGTCCCACCCATAACACATGACCGCCCATCCCAATGTCCCACCCATAACACATGACTGCCCATCCCAATGCCCCACCCATAACGCGTGAACACCCATCCCAATGTCCCACCCATAACACATGACCTCCCATCCCAATGCCCCACCCATAACCGCCCATCCCAATGTCCCACCCATAACACGTGACCTCCCATCCCAATGCCCCACCCATAACGCGTGACCACCCACTGCAATGTCCCACCCATAACACATGACCGCCCATCCCAATGTCCAACCCATAACACGAGACCACCCATCCCAATGTCCCACCCCATAACACGAGACCGCCCATCCCAATGTCCTACCCATAACGTGTGGCTGAGCACATCTTCAGGTTCCATTCATGAACATACCATACGGAAATTCACCACCTGAGGATGACCAGCAAGCCTCACCAAGCACCGGTGAGACATACTCTCCACTCAGTGCCAGATGATGGAGAGGATGAGAGAGAACAGAGGCAGGAGAGGGACAACCCCAGAGAGAAGAATCTTCCCAAGAAGGGGGAGGAGAGACAGACGTGGAGGAAGATTGGAAAAGATAACAAAGAACCACATCTCCCAGCCGAAACTCCATAGGGTTCCCCCAGAGGTTGCTGGGTGTTGGTGTGCTCCTACCTGTAGCCACAATGTCACTTCTCAGAGCCAACTGGATGGGACTGATGGAGCACCACCTCTAGTTCCTCCAATATAGAACCACTGACACCAATGGTGGTGTTATAACAGTCTGTAAGAGGTCCAGTCCTCACACTGACCCCCAATGTAAGGGACATTCTTCTCACTGACCCCCAATGTGAGGGACATTCTTCCCACTGACCCCCAATGTGAGGGACATTCTTCCCACTGACCCCCAATGTGAGGGACATTCTTCCCACTGACCCCCAATGTGAGGGACATTCTTCCCACTGACCCCCAATGTAAGGGACATTCTTCCCACTGACCCCCAATGTAAGGGACATTCTTCCCACTGACCCCCAATGTGAGGGACATTCTTCCCACTGACCCCCAATGTGAGGGACATTCTTCCCACTGACCCCCAATGTGAGGGACATTCTTCCCACTGACCCCCAATGTGAGGGACATTCTTCCCACTGACCCCCAATGTGAGGGACATTCTTCCCACTGACCCCCAATGTGAGGGACATTCTTCCCACTGACCCCCAATGTGAGGGACATTCTTCCCACTGACCCCCAATGTAAGGGACATTCGTCCCACTCACCCCCAATGTGAGGGACATTCTTCCCACTGACCCCCAATGAGTGGAGGCACTATACTGACCAGCACTGACATTACCCCATAGACCACCAATGTAAGGGGGCCTAATAACAATGGTGTGGCTGCTGTACTGTGAGATAGATATATATAGAATGCCAGGGTCCTGGAAAGTAGGCATGTCCCTGTTATTTAGGCTGTGGTCCCTTTAAGGAGGACAATGTGAATGCAGTTCTCATCCATGCCGGGTGTGATGGGAGTGACTTTGGGTGGGGGGCCCATGGAACACAGCTCACTTTGGAGAGGTGGGGAGACCCCTGTCTCAGCTCCCCATATCCCTCTTATGTGCAAGTCCCCCTGTGCCTGTTAGGGGTACAGGGTAATCTGTCCTGATATTGGGGTGGGGGGGGTTGTCTCAGACTGTGTAGATTTGTGTTTATGTGTAGTGGCTTAATGGGGGGGGAGTTGTCTCCAGCAGCCCTCCCTCCTGATGGGACTGTCTGTTGGTGTGGTGTGTCTCTTGTTGCTAAATATAGATTGCCCCGTCCCGTGTCATTATGCAGGGGGGGGGGGATTACCCCGCCCTATGTCATTATGCGGGGGGGATTGCCCCGCCCTGTGTCATTATGCCGGGGGGGGGGGGGGGATTGCCCTGCCCTGTGTCATTAAGCAGGGAGGGGGGATTGTCCCGCCCTGTGTCATTATGCAGGGGGGGGGGGGGGGGGGATTACCCCGCCCTGTGTCATTATGTAGGGAGGGGGGATTGTCCCCCTGACTGTATATATCTTGTATCTGTGTTCAAATAAACTAGTCTACTTCCTGGTTTACTTCAAGTACTCCCGCCTCCACGTCCTGCCACAACCCCCTCAACCTAGTATCTGTCCCCCTGCTCCCTAAAACCACCCCCCAGTTTTCATGTGCACTCCTGAACACCCGATCTGTGTGCAACAAGCTCACCGCCATCCACGACCTCTTTGTTTCCCGCTCCCTCAACCTCCTAGCGATCACAGAAACCTGGATCCAGCCCACTGACTCTACCTCCCCTGCTGCACTCTCCTACGGAGGTCTCACCTGGACCCACTCACCCAGACCCAACGGTCGTGAAGGTGGTGGGGTTGGTCTGCTCCTGTCACCGCTGAGCACCTTCCAAGTCCTCCCAAACCCCCCCCTCCCTATCCTTCTCCTCCTTCGAGGCCCACTGCGTCCGACTATTCTCCCCAACCCCCCTGAAGATTGCTGTGATATACCGGCCTCCTGGATCCATACCCCGCTTCCTGGATGACTCCTCCTCCTGGATCCATACCCCGCTTCCTGGAAGACTTCTCCTCCTGGCTACCCTTCTTCCTCTCCTCTGAGCTACCCACCATCATTCTTGGGGATCTCAACATCCCTGCCAAGCTCGACAACCCGGACACATCCCATCTCCTCCACTTAACCTCCTCCTTTGCACTCGCACAGTGCATACAATCCACCACCCACTCCAACGGGAACATCCTGGACCTTGTCTTCTCCAACCGCTGCGCTCCCCACAACCTCACTAACACCCCCTTCCCTCTCTCTGACCACAACCTGATCACCTTCTCTATCTCCTCGTCCTCCAACGCCTACCCCTCCAAATGTCACACTACTACCAGCCGTAACCTCCGCAACCTTAACCCTGCCCCCCTCCACTCCGCAGCTGATCAACTCCATGACCGCATCCTCCCCCTGTCCTGCCCCGACTTGGCTATGACCGCCTACAACAACGCGCTGTCAGCAGCCCTTGACTCACTAGCGCCTTTAACCACACGCAACATCAGACCCCGACCGCTCCAGCCCTGGCAGACTGATCACACCAAAACCCTCAAACGACAAAGTCGTGCCCTGGAGCGACTATGGCGCAAAACCAAATCCCAACAAGCCTTCACCCGCTACAAATCTGCCTTCCACACCTACACCTCCTCCCTCCATACTGCCAAACAAGCCTACTTCCTGACCCTCATCAAGGCCTTCTCCTCCAATCCTCGCCGACTCTTCTCCACCTTCAACTCTCTACTCTCGCCACCCCCCACACCTCCACCCAGCACCTCACTCACCGCCCTTGAGATTGCCAATCACTTCAAAAACAAGATTGACACAATTCACAAGGACATCGCCGCAACTCACACGCCCTCTCAACCCGTCCCCTCTCACACAGCTACCCCCTCATCCCCCTCTCCCTCACCACTGTTCAGACCTCCACCCCACCTAACATCCCTCACACTGAAGCCCCCACTGAAGCCCCCTCAACACTCCACACCTTCGACCTTACTACCATCGAGGTCACCAAGGTCTTCTCTGATGCCCACCTCACCACCTGCCCCCTCGACCCTATCCCCTCAACTCCTACGACCTCCCTCCTCCTCCATCATACACTCCCTCACCCACATTTTTAATCTCTCCCTCTCTTCCAGCACATTCCCCTCCCCTCTGAAGCATGCACACATCACCCCCATACTTAAAAAGCCCTCCCTGGACCCCAATGACCAGAAACAACCTCAGACCCATCTCCATGCTCCCATTCTCATCCAAACTCCTCGAGCGCCTAGTCTACAATCGCCTATGCTCCCACCTCAACGACAACAACCTCCTTGATCCCCTACAGTCCGGCTTCCGTCCCCTACACTCCACCAAAACCGCCTTACTCAAACTCTCCAACGACCTGCTAACCGCCAAAGCCAATGGCCACTATTCAGTGCTCCTACTCCTTGACCTCTCTGCGGCCTTCGACACAGTCGACCACCCCCCCTCCTCCTCAAAAAACTACACTCCCTCGGCCTCAGAGATTCTGCTCTCTCCTGGCTCTCATCCTACCTGTCACAACGCTCATTCAGCGTTACCTATAATGCTACCACCTCCCCCTCACTCCCCCTCTCTGTTGGGGTCCCTCAAGGCTCTGTCCTCGGGCCCCTTCTCTTCTCCATCTACCTACCTCCTCCCTCGGCCAACTCATACACTCTCACGGCTTCAACTACCACCTCTATGCCGACGACACACAAATCTATCTCTCAACCCCCCACCTCACCCCCTCAGTCTCCGCCCGAATCACAAGCCTACTGAGCGACATATCAGACTGGATGTCGCTCCACTTCCTTAAACTGAACCTCTCCAAAACTGAGCTCCTTGTCTTCCCCCCCCAGCCTGCACACCCACCCCCCTCTGACTTCTCCATCACATCCAACAACGCCACCATCAGGCCCACCCTGCAAGCCAGAGTACTTGGTGTCAATCCTAGACTCCCATCTGTCCTTCCCCAGCCCCAGATCCAATCACTAACAAACTCATGCAGACTCCACCTCCGCAACATGCAGACTCCACCTCCGCAACATGCAGACTCCACCTCCGCAACATGCAGACTCCACCTCCGCAACATGCAGACTCCACCTCCGCAACATGCAGACTCCACCTCCGCAACATCTCCAAAATCCGTCAATTCCTAACCCCAGAAACCACTAAGCAGCTCATCCACTCCCTCATCATATCACGACTTGACTACTGCAACTCCCTCCTCACTGGCCTGCCTCGCCGCTGGCTATCCCCGCTTCAGTCCATCCTGAATACGGCTGCCAGACTCATTCACCTCACCAACCGTTCTGTATCTGCCAACCCTCTCTGCCAATCCCTCCACTGCCCTCCACTCAGTGTCCTCCACCCCCCTCTGCCAATCCCTCCACTGTCCTCCACTCAGTGTCCTCCACCCCCCTCTGCCAATCCCTCCACTGTCCTCCACTCAGTGTCCTCCACCCCCCTCTGCCAATCCCTCCACTGTCCTCCACCCCCCTCTGCCAATCCCTCCACTGTCCTCCACTCAGTGTCCTCCACCCCCCTCTGCCAATCCCTCCACTGTCCTCCACTCAGTGTCCTCCACCCCCCTCTGCCAATCCCTCCACTGCCCTCCACTCAGTGTCCTCCACCCCCCTCTGCCAATCCCTCCACTGTCCTCCACTCAGTGTCCTCCACCCCCCTCTGCCAATCCCTCCACTGCCCTCCACTCAGTGTCCTCCACCCCCCCCCTGCCAATCCCTCCACTGTCCTCCACTCAGTGTCCTCCACCCCCCTCTGCCAATCCCTCCACTGTCCTCCACTCAGTGTCCTCCACCCCCCTCTGCCAATCCCTCCACTGGCTTCCAATTGCCCAATGGATCATACAAAGCTGTCCATCATACTGCCCCAAACTACATCACCGACCTGATATCCAAGTACCACCCAACACGCACACTCCGCACCTCACAAGACCTACTCTCTAGTTTCCTGATCTCCTCCTCCCATGCCCGCCTCCAGGACTTCTCCAGGGTGTCACCCATCCTCTGGAACTCCCTACCCCAATCCATCAGACTATCACCTACTCTCCTCTCCTTTAGGCGCACCCTGAAAACCCATCTCTTCAGGGAAGCCTACCTCGCCCTCTGCTAATTGCCGATCTCCTCCACTTCTCCTATCACTCCATCCCCCACAGCTATCTCCTCCTGTTCCACCATCCCCTCCCTCCTAGATTGTAAGCTCCCAGGAGCAGGGCCCTCGATCCCCTCGTGTATTGTTACTGTATTCTCTCATGTTCTGTCCCCCTTTGTAATGTACAGCGCTGAGCGAACTATTGGCGCTTTATAAATACTGTATAATAATAATAAAGTCTGGTGTCGTCTAGTCCTGTATGGTCTCTGTGGTGTCAGTGGTCGGTGTTCGGACAGATTGGTGTCGTCTAGTCCTGTATGGTCTCTGTGGTGTCAGTGGTCGGTGTTCGGACAGATTGGTGTCGTCTAGTCTTGTATGGTCTCTGTGGTGTCAGTGGTCGGTGTTCGGACAGATTGGTGTGTGTCTAGTCTTGTATGGTCTCTGTGGTGTCAGTGGTCGGTGTTCGGACAGATTGGTGTCGTCTAGTCCTGTATGGTCTCTGTGGTGTCAGTGGTCGGTGTTCGGACAGATTGGTGTCGTCTAGTCTTGTATGGTTGGTTCTGTGGTGTCAGTGGTCGTTGTGGTGTGGTCAGTGGTCGGTGTTCGGACAGACAGATTGGTGTCGTCTAGTCCTGTATGGTCTCTGTGGTGTCAGTGGTCGGTGTTCGGACAGATTGGTGTCGTCTAGTCCTGTATGGTCAGCGGTGGTGTCAGTGGTCGGTGTTCGGACAGACTGGTGTCGTGTCTAGTCCTTGTATGGTCTCTGTGGTGTCAGTGGTTGGTGTTCGGACAGATTGGTGTCGTCTAGTCCTGTATGGTCAGCGGTGGTGTCAGTGGTCGGTGTTCGGACAGATTGGTGTCGTCTAGTCCTGTATGGTCTGTGGTGTCAGTGGTCGGTGTTCGGACAGATTGGTGTCGTCTAGTCTTGTATGGTCTCTGTGGTGTCAGTGGTCGGTGTTCGGACAGATTGGTGTCGTCTAGTCCTGTATGGTCTCTGTGGTGTCAGTGGTCGGTGTTCGGACAGATTGGTGTCGTCTAGTCTTGTATGGTCTCTGTGGTGTCAGTGGTCGGTGTTTCGGACAGATTGGTGTCGTCTAGTCTTGTATGGTCTCTGTGGTGTCAGTGGTCGGTGTTCGGACAGATTGGTGTCGTCTAGTCCTGTATGGTCAGCGGTGGTGTCGGTGGTCGGTGTTCGGACAGATTGGTGTCGTCTAGTCCTGTATGGTCTGGTTGTGGTGTCAGTGGTCGGTGTTCGGACAGATTGGTGTCGTCTAGTCCTGTATGGTCTCTGTGGTGTCAGTGGTCGGTGTTCGACAGATTGGTGTCGTCTAGTCCTGTATGGTTGGTTGTGGTGTCAGTGTGTTCGAACAGATTGGTGTCGTCTAGTCCTGTATGGTTGGTTGTGGTGTCAGTGGTCGGTGTTCGGACAGATTGGTGTCGTCTAGTCCTGTATGGTCAGCGTGGTGTCAGTGGTCGGTGTTCGGACAGATTGGTGTCGTCTAGTCCTGTATGGTGCGGTGGTGTCAGTGGTCGGTGTTCGGACAGATTGGTGTCGTCTAGTCTTGTATGGTCTCTGTGGTGTCGATCGGTGTTCGGACAGATTGGTGTCGTCTAGTCTTGTATGGTCTCTGTGGTGTCAGTGGTCGGTGTTCGGACAGATTGGTGTCGTCTAGTCCTGTATGGTCTCTGTGGTGTCAGTGGTCGGTGTTCGGACAGATTGGTGTCGTCTAGTCTTGTATGGTCTCTGTGGTGTCAGTGGTCGGTGTTCGGACAGATTGGTGTCGTCTAGTCCTGTATGGTCAGCGGTGGTGTCAGTGGTCGGTGTTCGGACAGATTGGTGTCGTCTAGTCCTGTATGGTCTCTGTGGTGTCAGTGGTCGGACAGATTGGTGTCGTCTAGTCCTGTATGGTCGGCGGTGGTGTCAGTGGTCGGTGTGTCGGACAGATTGGTGTCGTCTAGTGTATGGGTCTCGTGGTGTCAGTGGTCGTGTTCGGTGGTGGACAGTTGGTGTCGTCTAGTCCTGTATGGTCAGCGGTGGTGTCAGTGGTCGGTGTTCGGACAGATTGGTGTCGTCTAGTCCTGTATGGTCAGCTGTGGTGTCAGTGGTCGGTGTTCGGACAGATTGGTGTCGTCTAGTCCTGTATGGTCTCTGTGGTGTCAGTGGTCGGTGTTCGGACAGATGGTGTCGTCAGTCTTGTAGCGGTCGGGTGTCAGTGGTCGTGTTCGGACAGATTGGTGTCGTCTAGTCCTGTATGGTCTCTGTGGTGTCAGTGGTCGGTGTGGTCATTGGTGTCGTCTAGTCTTGTATGGTCTCTGGTGGTGTCAGTGGTCGGTGTTCGGACAGATTGGTGTCGTCTAGTCCTGTATGGTCTCTGTGGTGTCAGTGGTCGGTGTTCGGACAGATTGGTGTCGTCTAGTCCTGTGTATGGTCAGCGTGGTGTCAGTGGTCGGTGTTCGGACAGATTGGTGTCAGTGGTCGGTGTTCGGTGGTGTCAGTGGTCGGTGTTCGGACAGATTGGTGTCGTCTAGTCCTGTATGGTCAGGTTGTGGTGTCAGTGGTCGGTGTTCGTGTTTGGTTGTCGTCTAGTATGTGGTGTCAGTGGTCGGTGTTCGGACAGATGTGTGTCGTCCTGTATGGTCAGGGTGGTGTCAGTGGTCGGCGGTGGTGTCAGTGGTCGGTGGTGTCAGTGGTCGGCGGTGGTGTCAGTGGTCGGTGTTCGGACAGATTGGTGTCGTCTAGTCCTGTATGGTCGGTCGGCGGTGGTGTCAGTGGTCGGCGGTGTGTGTCAGTGGTCGGCGGTGGTGTCAGTGGTCGGCGGTGGTGTCAGTGGTCGGCGGGTGTCAGTGTCAGCGGTGGTGTCAGTGGTTGGTGTTCGGATGGGGAAGCGGTATTCTAGCGGATGTACTCAGCGCAGTCTGGGACGGTTCCATTACACCGGGTGAGGGGTTCCGGTTGACTTACATTTTGGCCGGGATTAGTAAGTCCTCACAATGGATCAGGAATTCGGAGGCTCGGAATGACCATGGATGGGAAAGAGCCTCCATCTCTGATTACAGAAACGTTGGTACTGAAAGGGTTAACCCCCCCTCTGTAACCCCAGGCCATGGTGGGGGAGGAGAGTATCGCTCACACATACAGAGGCATGACACATACCTGGGGTGTATTTCCACAGATCTTGAAAGTGACGGTTCAGTCTGGCGTTATATCCACCGAACACATACAGCTCCCCGTGATATGCAACTGGGACAGACATGAAACTCCGGGTTACATGGAACTCTTCACCAAGCCGAGAATACACAGCTGCCCAGCTACACGGACATATACCGCCCGCCCTACACGGACATATACCGCCCGCCCTACACGGACATATACCGCCCGCCCAGCTACACGGACATATACCGCCTGCCCTACACGGACATATACCGCCCGCCCAGCTACACGGACATATACCGCCCGCCCAGCTACACGGACATATACCGCCCGCCCAGCTACACGGACATATACCGCCCGCCCAGCTACACGCCCGCCCAGCCCTACACGGACATATACCGCCCGCCCAGCTACACGGACATATACCGCCCGCCCAGCTACACGGACATATACCGCCCGCCCAGCTACACGGACATATACCGCCCGCCCAGCTACACGGACATATACCGCCCGCCCCTACTACACGGACATATACCGCCCGCCCAGCTACACGGACATATACCGCCCCCCCAGCTACACGGACATATACCGCCCGCCCAGCTACACGGACATATACCGCCCGCCCAGCTACACGACATATACCGCCCGCCCAGCTACACGGACATATACCGCCCGCCCAGCTACACGGACATATACCGCCCGCCCAGCTACACGGACATATACCGCCCGCCCAGCTACACGGACATATACCGCCCGCCCAGCTACACGGACATATACCGCCCCCCCCTACACGGACATATACCGCCCGCCTGCCCTACACGGACATATACCGCCCGCCCAGCTACACGGACATATACCGCCCGCCCAGCCCACACGGACATGTACCCGCCCGCCCAGCTACAACGGACATATACCGCCCGCCCAGCTACACGGACATATACCGCCCGCCCAGCTACACGGACATATACCGCCCGCCCAGCTACACGGACATATACCGCCCGCCCAGCTACACGGACATATACCGCCCGCCCAGCTACACGGACATATACCGCCCGCCCAGCTACACGGACATATACCGCCCGCCCAGCTACACGGACATATACCGCCCGCCCAGCTACACGGACATATACCGCCCGCCCAGCTACACGGACATATACCGCCCGCCCAGCTACACGGACATATACCGGCCGCCTGCCCTACACGGACATAAAGGGAAGGAAATGTGTATTTGCTCCCCTCTGATGCTGAACGTTCGCCCCTCACACAGAAACGACAACAATGGAATGTCGACACAGAAACGATCGGTCTCACACAAACGATCGGTCTAACAATGGAATGTTCGCCGCCCCTCACACAGAAACGATCGGTCTAACAATGGAATGTTCACCCCTCACACAGAAACGATCGGTTTAACAATGGAATGTTCGCCCCTCACACAGAAACGATCGGTCTAACAATGGAATGTTCGCCCCTCACACAGAAATGATCGGTCTAACAATGGAATGTTCGCCCCTCACACAGAAAAATGATCGGTCTAACAATGGAATGTTCACCCCTCACACAGAAACGATCGGTCTAACAATGGAATGTTCGCCCCTCACACAGAAACGATCGGTCTAACAATGGAATGTTCCCCCCTCACACAGAAACGATCGGTCTAACAATGGAATGTTCGCCCCTCGCACAGAAATGATCGGTCTAACAATGGAATGTTCGCCCCTCACACAGAAATGATCGGTCTAACAACGGAATGTTCGCCCCTCACACAGAAATGATCGGTCTAACAATGGAATGTTCGCCCCTCACACAGAAATGATCGGTCTAACAACGGAATGTTCGGTGTAACACTGAGAGACAGAATACAACAACAAATTCAGCAGAAATGCGTCTAACAAATGATGACGGATCTGCATGTTCATGAGGGAAAGAAGGATTTGATCCCCTATCATTCAGCAGGATTTCTGGCTCCCAGGTGTCTCTCATACAGGTAACAAGCTGAGATTACAAGCAGTCTCTTAAAGGGAGTGCTGCTAATCTCATTGTGTTACCTGTATAAAAGACACCTGTCCACAGGAGCCATCAAACCATCAGATTCCAAACTCTCCACCATGGCAAAGACCAAAGAGCTGTCCAAGGATGTCAGGGACAAGATGGTAGACCTACACAAGGCTGGACTGGGCTACCAAACTATGGCCAAGCAGCTTGGTGAGAAGGTGACAACAGTTGGTGCAATCATTCACAAATGGAAGAAACACAAAACAAGTGTCAGTCTCCCTAGGTCTGGTGCACCATGCAAGATGTCACCTCGTGGAGTGTCAATGATCATGAGAACAGCTCTTTGGCATCAACTCGCCGTGTTTGGAGGAGGAGGAATGCTGCCTATGACCCCAAGAACACCATCCCAACTGTGAAACATGGTGGTGGAAACATTCTGCTTTGGGGGGGTTTTTCTGCTAAGGGGACAGGACAACTGCACCGCATCAAAGGGACGATGGACGGGGCAATGTACCATCAAATCTTGGGTGAGAACCTTCTTCCCTCAGCCAGGGCATTGAAAATGGGTGGTGGATGGGTGTTCCAGCATGACAAGGACCCAAAACACACGGCCAAGGCAACAAAGGAGCGGCTCAAGAAGAAGCACATTAAGGTCCTGGAGGGGCCTAGCCAGTCTCCACACCTTCATCCGATTGGAAAATCTGTGGAGGAGCTGAAAGTTCGAGTTGCCAAACGTCAGCCACACCAAACCTTAATGACTTGGAGAGGATCTGCCAAGAGGAGTGGGCCAAAATCCCTCCTGAGATGTGTGCGAACCTGGGGGCCAACTCCAGGAAACGTCTGACCTCTGTGATTACCAACAAGGGATTGGCCACCAAGTACTAAGTCATGTTTTGTGAAGGGGATCCAATCCTTCTTTCCCTCATGAACATGCAGATCATCATCATTTGTTAGACGCATTTCTGCTGAATTTGTTGTTGTATTCTGTCTCTCAGTGTTACCCCCCGAACATTCCATTGTTAGACCGATCGTCTGTGCGAGGGCGAACATTCCATTGTTGACCGATCGTGTTCTGTGTGAGGGGCGAACATTCCATTGTTAGACCGATCGTTTCTGTGTGAGGGGCGAACATTCCATTGTTAGACCGATCGTTTCTGTGTGAGGGGCGAACATTCCATTGTTAGACCGATCGTTTTCTGTGTGAGGGGCGAACATTCCATTGTTAGACCGATCGTTTCTGTGTGAGGGCGAACATTCCATTGTTAGACCGATCATTTCTGTGTGAGGGGCGAACATTCCATTGTTAGACCGATCATTTCTGTGTGAGGGGCGAACATTCCATTGTTAGACCGATCGTTTCTGTGTGAGGGGCGAACATTCCATTGAACCGATTCCAACATTCCATTGTTAGACCGATCGTTTCTGTTCCATTGTTAGACCGATCGTTTCTGTGTGAGGGGCGAACATTCAGCATCAGCCGGGGGCAAATACACATTTCCTGCACTGTATACTGCCTGTGATGCTGGACGTCCTACAGCAAGGAAATGAAGCTCCTCCCCCGGGGTGGGTCATCCTGTGCATCATATCCCCCTCCCCCCGATAACCAGAATGGGGAATATGGTGGGTAGGGGTGAATGGGGAGTCTATAGCCTCCTCCTCGTACATCCTCCATACCCACAATCCCCTCATCCTCTCTCACAGGCCGAATGGCTCCTCCTCCTCGTAATCCTCCATACCCACAATCCCCTCATCCTCACTCACAGACTGAATGGCTCCTCCCCCTCGTACATCCCATCCATACCCACAATCCCCTCATCCTTACTCACAGGCCGAAAGGCTCCTCCTCCTCATACATCCTCCATACCCACAATCCCCTCATCCTCACTCACAGGACGAATGGCGCCTCCTACATCCTCCATACCCACAATCCCCTCATCCTTACTCACAGGCCGAATAGCTCCTCCTCCTCGTACATCCTCCATACCCACAATCCTCCATACCCAGGCAATCCCTCCTCATACTCACTCACTCACAGGCCGAATGGCTCCTCCTCCTCGTAATCCTCCACACCCACAATCCCCTCATCCTCACTCACAGACTGAATGGCTCCTCCCCCTCGTACATCCTCCATACCCACAATCCCCTCATCCTTACTCACAGGCCGAAAGGCTCCTCCTCCTCATACATCCTCCATACCCACAATCCCCTCATCCTCACTCACAGGACGAATGGCGCCTCCTACATCCTCCATACCCACAATCCCCTCATCCTTACTCACAGGCCGAATAGCTCCTCCTCCTCGTACATCCTCCATACTCCACAATCCCCTCATCCTCACTCACAGGCCGAATGGCTCCTCCTCCTCGTAATCCTCCATACCCACAATCCCTTCATACTCACTCACAGGCCGAATGGCTCCTCCTCCTCGTAATCCTCCACACCCACAATCCCCTCATCCTCACTCACAGACTGAATGGCTCCTCCCCCTCGTACATCCTCCATACCCACAATCCCCTCATCCTCACTCACAGGCCGAATGGCTCCTCCTCCTCGTACATCCTCCATACCCACAATCCCCTCATCCTCACTCACAGGCCGAATGGCTCCTCCTCCTCGTACATCCTCCATACCCACAATCCCCTCATCCTCACTCACAGGCCGAATGGCTCCTCCTCCTCGTACATCCTCCATACCCACAATCCCCTCATCCTCACTCACAGGCCGAATGGCTCCTCCTCCGCATACATCCTCCACACCCCACAATCCCCTCATCCTCACGCACAGGCCGAATGGCTCCTCCTCCTCATACATCCTCCATACCCACAATCCCCTCATCCTCACTCACAGGCCGAAAGGCTCCTCCTCCTCGTACATCCTCCATACCCACAATCCCCTCATCCTCACTCACAGACCGAATGGCTCCTCCTCCTCGTACATCCTCCATACCCACAATCCCCTCATCCTCACTCACAGGCCGAATGGCTCCTCCTCCGCATACATCCTCCATACCCACAATCCCCTCATCCTCACTCACAGGCCGAATGGCTCCTCCTCCTCGTACATCCTCCATACCCACAATCCCCTCATCTTCACTCACAGGCCGAATGGCTCCTCCGCCTCGTAATCCTCCACACCCACAATCCCCTCATCCTCACTCACAGACTGAATTGCTCCTCCTCCTCGTAATCCTCCACACCCACAATCCCCTCATCCTCACTCACAGGCCGAATGGCTCCACCTCCTCGTACATCCTCCATACCCACAATCCCCTCATCCTCACTCACAGGCCGAATGGCTCCTCCGCCTCGTAATCCTCCATACCCACAATCCCCTCATCCTCACTCACAGACCGAATGGCTCCTCCTCCTCGTAATCCTCCACACCCACAATCCCCTCATCCTCACTCACAGACTGAATGGCTCCTCCCCCTCTTACATCCTCCATACCCACAATCCCCTCATCCTCACTCACAGGCCGAATGGCTCCTCCTCCCTTCGGGGGGCGCTGTGGACTGGGCTGCATCCAGCCAGCTCTCGGTCATGAGGTCGAACACTCGGATGCGGTTGCAGTAGATCTCGCTGTTGGAGTGAAATGGTCCGGAGCGATCCGCGCGGCCGCCAAACACGAACATCTTCTGACCAATCACAGTGGCTGAGTGGAAATCTCTCCAGCGAGCTGCTGAGCCCTACAGACAGACCGACCAATCAGAATGGGACACAATGAAGAGTGCTGGGTAATGGGATACAATGAGGAATGCTGGGTAATGGGATACAATGAGGAGTGCTGGGTAATGGCATACAAGGAGGAATGCTGGGTAATGGCATACAAGGAGGAATGCTGGGTAATGGGATACAATGAGGAGTGCTGGGTAATGGCATACAATGAGGAGTGCTGGGTAATGGGATACAATGAGGAATGCTGGGTAATGGCATACAATGAGGAAAGCTGGGTAATGGCATACAATGAGGAATGCTGGGTAATGGCATACAATGAGGAAAGCTGGGTAATGGCATACAATGAGGAATGCTGGGTAATGGCATACAATGAGGAATGCTGGGTAATGGGATACAATGAAGAATGCTGGGTAATGGGATACAATGAGGAATGCTGGGTAATGGCATACAATGAGGAATGCTGGGTAATGGCATACAATGAGGAGTGCTGGGTAATGGCATACAATGAGGAATGCTGAGTAATGGGATACAATGAGGAATGCTGGGTAATGGCATACAAGGAGGAATGCTGGGTAATGGGATACAAGAAGGAAATGCCGGGTAATGGCATACAAGGAGGAATGCTGAGTAATGGCATACAAGGAGGAATGCTGGGTAATGGCATACAAGGAGGAATGCTGAGTAATGGCATACAAGGAGGAATGCTGGGTAATGGCATACAAGGAGGAATGCCGGGTAATGGCATACAAGGAGGAGTGCTGGGTAATGGCATACAAGGAGGAATGCTGGGTAATGGCATACAAGGAGGAATGCTGGGTAATGGCATACAAGGAGGAATGCCGGTAATGGCATACAAGGAGGAATGCTGGGTAATGGGATACAAGAAGGAATGCTGGGTAATGGGATACAAGAAGGAATGCTGGGTAATGGGATACAAGAAGGAATGCTGGGTAATGGCATACAATGAGGAGTGCTGGGTAATGGGATACAATGAGGAATGCTGGGTAATGGGATACAATGAGGAATGCTGGGTAATGGCATACAATGAGGAGTGCTGGGTAATGGGATACAATGAGGAATGCTGGGTAATGGCATACAAGGAGGAATGCTGGGTAATGGGATACAAGGAGGAATGCTGGGTAATGGGATACAATGAGGAATGCTGAGTAATGGGATACAAGAAATGGAATGCTGAGTAATGGGATACAAGGAGGAATGCTGGGTAGTCATATTACATGTTCTCTGGAGGAGGGGCATTGTCTGGCTCCTCCCCCCACACTCACTTTGGCCTTCACTAGCGCCCAGCTCATGGATTTGGTGTCCAGCTTGTGAATATCATTGGAGAAGCAGTCAGCCTGGGAGGGAGAAAACGTCCCGAGATTACCACACATGTCACACCAAATCTATGGTACCCCCCCATATCCATGCGCCCACCATAGTCCCCCCCATATCCATGCGCCCACCATAGTCCCCCCCCATATCCATGTGCCCACCATAGTCCCCCCCATATCCATGTGCCCACCATAGTCCCCCCATATCCATGTGCCCACCATAGTCCCCCCCCCCAATAGTGTAACCTAGTGCCACGTGCCCACCATAGTCCCCCCCATATCCATGTGCCCACCATAGTCCCCCCATACCCATCTACAGAGTACAGGGACACCATGTGCCCACCATAGTCCCCCCCCCCCCCCCATAACCATCTACAGAGTACAGGGACACCATGGGCCCACCATAGTCCCCCCCCCCCCATAACCATCTACAGAGCACAGGAACACCATGGGCCCACCAAGTTCCCCCCCCCATACCCATCTACAGAGTACAGGGACACCATGTGCCCACCATAGTCCCCCCCCCCCCCATACATCTACAGAGTACAGGGACACCATGGGCCCACCAAGTCCCCCCCCCCCATACATCTACATAGTACAGGGACACCATGGGCCCACCATAGTCCCCCCCATACCCATCTACAGAGTACAGGGACACCATGGGCCCACCATAGTCCCCCCCCCATATCATCTACAGAGTACAGGGACACCATGTGCCCACCATAGTCGTCCCCCCCTCATACATCTACAGAGTACAGGCACCATGTGCCCACCATAGTCCCCCCCCCATATATCTACTACAGAGTACAGGGACACCATGTGCCCACCATAGTCCCCCCCCCCCCCATATATCTACAGAGTACAGGGACACCATGGGCCCACCAAGTTCCCCCATACCCCCCCATCCATCTACAGAGTACAGGGACACCATGTGCCCACCAAGTCCCCCCCCCCCCCCATACATCTACAGAGTACAGGGACACCCATGTGCCCACCATAGTCGTCGTCCCCCATACATCTACAGAGTACAGGGACACCATGGGCCCACCATAGTACCCCCCCCCCATACATCTACAGAGTACAGGGACACCATGTGCCCACCATAGTACCCCCCCACCCATCTACAGGGACACCATGTGCCCACCATAGTCCCCCCCCCCCATATATCTACAGAATACAGGGACACCATGGGCCCACCATAGTACCCCCCCCCCCCCATACATCTACAGAGTACAGGGACACCATGTGCCCACCATAGTCCCCCCCCCCATACATTCATCTACAGAGTACAGGGACACAATGTGCCCACCATAGTCCCCCCCCCCCCCCATACATCTACAGAGTACAGGGACACCATGGGCCCACCATAGTCCCCCCCCATAACCATCTACAGAGTACAGGGACACCATGGGCCCACCATAGTCCCCCCCCCCATAACCATCTACAGAGTACAGGGACACCATGGGCCCACCATAGTCCTCCCCCCCCCATAACCATCTACAGAGTACAGGGACACCATGGGCCCACCATAGTCCTCCCCCCCATAACCATCTACAGAGTACAGGGACACCATGGGCCCACCATAGTCCCCCCCCCCCCCATAACCATCTACAGAGTACAGGGACACCATGGGCCCACCATAGTCCTCCCCCCCATAACCATCTACAGAGTACAGGGACACCATGGACCCACCATAGTCCTCCCCCCCCCATACATCTACAGAGTACAGGGACACCATGGGCCCACCATAGTCCTCCCCCCCCCCCCATACATCTACAGAGTACAGGGACACCATGGGCCCACCATAGTCCTCCCCCCCCCCCCCATACATCTACAGAGTACAGGGATACCATGGGCCCACCATAGTCCTCCATACTAATTTACAGAGATTGTGTGCCCACCATATAAATCTACATGGTACAAGGGGATCATGTGCCCTCCACACCAACCTACAAAGAGGGGCTCATTTTCCACTCCCCCTATACCAGTTCACACAGTACAGGAATCATGTGCACCCCCCAAGTGCCCCCCCAATCCCCATGTTCTTCTTACCAGCTGTTCATATCCTCCAAAGATATACATGGTCCTCTCCAGGACACAGGCAGAGTGCCCGTCCCGAGCTCCAGGAATCTGTCCTGTCACCTGGGGGGTGGCCCACTGCTCGGTTCCTGCAATCAGAAAGCCATGTATTAGTAAGGAGGCGGAGTCTGGATGCGATACGCACACGGAATAGGCGGTACCTGTGTGGAATATGTAGAGGACATTACAAGCCCCCTCGGTGTCATTGCGCGGCCACCCCCAGATGTAGATGATGTCATCGATGAGCACAGCGGTGTGGCCGTACCTCATGTAGGGAACCTTAGACTGACATCCAATGACAGGAGGCAGTTTTCTCCAACGTAGAGACACTGCAAGGAAACAAGAGATCAGAGGATTGGACCATCACCAGATGAGGAGGACCACAATGACTCCACACACATACCGGCATTGAAGACATGGACATCAATCTGCCTCAGAGTCTCATAGTCCTCTTCAGAACAGTAACCGCCAAAGGAAAACACTCGATGTCCAACCGCTACCGCAGCATGATTCACCCGCCGGGGACCCCCCTCCAAGTGCACCGTCCAGCGAGGCATCCCCCCACTGCATAACGCAGCAAGGTGAGGGGCCGAAGTGTTGGCACACCCAAGCCTGGCGAGGGAAAAACGAGACTTAGAACACTCAACTACCCCCACCGACCTATGGATCCCTAAAACAAAACTCCACCACCACCCAACTGACCAAATCCCTAATACCATCCTCCGCCACCCCAACCCACCAATCCCTAATACCATCCTCCGCCACCCAACCCACCAATCCCTAATACATCCTCCGCCACCCAACCCACCAATCCCCTAATAACATCCGCCAACCCAACCCACCAATCCCTAATACCATCCGCCGCCACCCAACCCACCAATCCCTAATACCCCGCCACCCAACCCACCAAATCCCTAATAACATCCTCCGCCACCCAACCCACCCCACCCCTAATAACCCCTCCGCCACCCAACCCACCACAAATCCCTAATACCCCCATCCGCCACCCCCACCCACAATCCTAATACCATCCTCCGCCACCCAACCCACCAATCCCTAATACCATCCCGCCACCCAAACCCACCAATCCCTAATACCATCCTCCCACCCCCCACCCAACCCACCAATCCCTAATACATCCTCCCCCCCCCCACCAATCCCTAACCCCATCCGCCACCCCAACCCACCAATCCCTAATACCATCCCCCACCCAACCCCACCAATCCCTAATACCATCCTCCGCCACCCAATCCCTAAAACCATCCTCCCCACCCCAACCCACCAATCCCTAATACCAACATCCCGCCACCCAACCCCCCAATCCCTAATACCATCCACCCCCACCCAACCCACCCCCCAATACCATCCCCCCCCCCAACAACCCAACCACCATCCCTAATACCACCCCCCCCCCCCACCAATCCCAAATAACCACCCCCCCATCCCCACCCAACACCCACCAATCCCACCCCCATCCCACCCCCCCCCCCACCACCACCCTAATACCATCCCCCCCCCCCCCCACCCCCCCCCCCCCCCCCCCACCCACCCCCCCCAATCCCCCCACCCCCCCCATATCCCCCCCCCCCCCAAACCCCACCCCCCCCCCCCATATCCATCCCCCACCCAACCCCCAACCCACACTAAAACATCCCCCCCCCCCCCCAAACCCCAACCCCTAACCCCCCGCCCCCCCCCCCCCCCCCCCCACCCCCCCCCATCCCCCCCCCCCCCCACCAATCCCCCCCCCCCCCCCCCCCCCCCACCCCCTAATAACCATCCCCCCCCCCCCAACCCAAACCCACAATCCCTAATACCCATCCTCCCCCCCCCAACCCACCCCCCCTAATACCCCCCGCCCCCCAACCCACCAATCCCCCCCCAACCCCCCAACCCCCCAATCCCCCCAATAACATCCCCAACCCCACCCAACCCCCCCCCCCATAACCCCCATCCCCACCCCCAACACCAATCCCCCCATAACAATCCCTCCCCCCCCCACCCCCCCCCAATCCCTAATAACCCTCCGCCCCCCCCCCCCCCCCCCCATCCTCCCCAACCCCCCCCCCCCCCCCAATCCCTAATACCATCCCCCCCCCCACCCAACCCAAATCCACCCCTAATACCAACCTCCCCCCCCCCCCCCCACCCACCAATCCCTAATATATAAAACCATCCCCCCCCAATCCCCCCCCACCCCCCACCCCATCCCACCCCCCCCCAACCCCCCCATACCCCCCCTACCCCCCCCCCCCCCCACCCCCCCCCCCCCCCCCCCCCCCCACCCCCAAATCCCCCCCCCCCCCCCCCCCCAACCCCCAAAAAACCCCCCCCCACCCCCCCCAACCAATCCCCCCCCCCACCCCCCCACCCAACCCACCCCCCTCCCCCCCCCCCCCCCCAAAACCCCCCCCCACCATCCTCCCCCCCCCCCCCCTAATCCCCCATCCTCCCCCATCCCAACCCCCCCTAATAACATCCCCCCAACCCCCCAATAACCCCAACCCCCCAAATCCCCCATCCAACCCCAACCCCCCCCCAACCCCCCCCCCTCCTCCACCCACCAACCCCCCTCCCCCCCAAACCCCCACCCCCCCCCCCACCCCTAATAACCCCCCCCCCCCCCCCCCCCCCACCCCCCCCCCCCCCCCCACATCCCACCCCCCCCCCCCCCAATCCCTAATAACCATCCCCCCCCACCCCCCCCCACCATCCCTAATACCAAACCCCCCCACCCAACCCACCAATCCCTAATAACATCCCCACCACCAACCCACCAATCCCTAAATCCTCCCCATCCCCAACCCCCAACCCCCCCCCACCATCCCTCCCCCCCCCCCAACCCCCCCAATCCCTAAACTACCATCCCCCCCAACACACCAACCCCCAATCCCTAATAACCCCCCCCCACCCAACCCCCCCCCATCCCTAAAATCCCCCCCTACCCAACCCCCCCCCAACAACCCCCAATCCCCCATAACATCCAACCCCCCCCAACCCCCAAATCCCTAACCCTCCGCCACCAACCGACCAATCCCTAACACATCCCCCCCCCCAACCCACCAATCCCTAATAACCAACCCCCCAACATCCTCCCCCCCACCCCCAACCCTAAATAACATCCCCCCCTACCACCCAACCACCAATCCCTAATAACATCCTCCCCCACCCAACCCCAATCCCCCCAACATCCCCCCACACCCAACCCACCCCAATCCCTAATAACCATCCTCCCCCCACCCAACCCCCAATCCTATTCCTAATAAAATCCCCCCCACCCAACCCCCAATCCCTAATAACATCCTCCCCCACAACAACCCACCAATCCCTAATAACACCCTCCCCCCCCCACCCCCAATCCCTAATAACATCCCCCCACCCAACCCACCAATCCCTAATAACATCCTCCCCCACCCAACCCACCAATCCCTAATAACATCCCTCCGCCACCCAACCGAACCAATCCCCACCCCCCCACCCAACCCCCAATCCCTAATAACATCCTCCCCAACCCAACCCCCAATCCCTAATAACATCCTCCCCCTCCCCCACCCCCACCACCCCCACCCCCCCCCCCCCCCCCCCCAAACACCACCAACCGAGAAAGTCTGTGAATTTTTAACCATCTCATAACAACAATAATAAAACTGTATAGTGCAAACCTAATAAAAAAATGTACTCCAGTCAAAATAATAATTTTCCTCAATATAACAAACCACATATATATAACATAAAATATCCCGTATCCCAATTATAATACAAAAAAACACCTAGACACAATTAAAACTTATACAAAAAAAACATATCCCGTAAAAATCAAAATATCTGTAAAAAAAATAACAATCAATATAAAAATTGTAAAACTATCCAGCAAAACATATATTATAAATTCTAATAATAAACAAATACACCAATAAAAAAACAAATCTATATATCCTCACATACCAATTATAAAATATATTTTTATATAAGCCAATAATACCCAATAATAATCCATGTGATATCCCAGTTTATCTTTAAAAAATTGTATATACTACCGTATACCAATTTAATTATATTTTAATTTATATTAAATGTCCAACAGAACAAATTTAAAATTAACATACATAGTTACCATAAAAATAAAAAAACTAATATACCATAAAATATATCAAAAACAAAAAAATTTTAAAAATAAATTTCAATCAAATATCAAAAAAAACCCTTCCCCTTTTTTGAGCACAAACTCTTTTATTCAATGAATTTTTAAAACAATACTCCCAAATCCCCACACTAAACAAAAAACCAAATAAAAACCCCTAAAATTGCGTCCCTACCCAAATATCTTGTTTAAAATTTTAAAACATCATCAAAAATATTTATTCTCATAATAAAATTATAATAATTTATAAAATAAAACAAATTATATAAAAAATTTTAAAAAAGAAAACAAAAAAATACAAGGGGGGGGGGGGGGGGGGGGGGGGGGGGAACAAACCTTCAATTTCTTTTTCAAATCCACATACAATAAAAATTACAAAAAGAATAAAACGCGAACAATTCAAAAAACTCAAAAAGAAGTTTAAAAATTTTATCGCAAAATTTTTATTTCCCCACCAATAAGATAACAACATTCAAAAAATTAAAATAACCCCTAAAACCACAAATATTTCCCCCGCCAAATCCATAAAATCCAAACTAATAACCTTAATAAAAACTTGTATTAAAAAATTTAAAAAAAATCCGTTATATACCAACTATCACACAAAGGGGGGGGGGGCCATTTCTTTTCCCGTTGTACCTATTACCAATGTAGCTTATCCTCAATAAAAAAAAAAAAAAATAAAAAGGGTCTCTTTAATATTGTAAAAAGCTATTATTTAATACTAAATAAATTTTTAAATCCCAAATTATCCCTAAAATTTTAAAAAAACTTACAAAATAAAAATACTATTAATTTTGGGGGGGGGGCCAACCAAAAATAAAACCATTAAAAAACTAAAATAAAAATAATTAAAAACCGCCAATAAAAAAAAAACAATCTATAAAATAAAAATTAAAATAAAAAAAAAAAAAAAGTTAAATAAAAAAATTAACATCAATACAAAAATAATTATTAAATAAAAATTTTTAAAACAAAAAAAAAAAAACATACAAAAAAAATCAATTAAAATATTAAACAAAAAAAAAATTGAATAAAATTTATATATTTAACCATAAAAATAAAATCAATTTACATATAATAAATAAAATATTATTAAAAAATAATAAATTTAAAAGAGTTGTTTTCCTGGATTCAAAATATTAAATAACCCAATAAATTTAAAATTAAAATTTTTTAAAACACCCAAAATTAAATAATATTAATTGTTGATTAATATTTTTTATAATTTCTATTAAAAAATAAATTTAATAAAAAAAATACACAATAAATAATAAAAATTAAAATAAAATAATAAATAAATAAAAACAAAAAAAATTAATAAAATATAAAAAAAAAACATAATAAATTTTAAAAAAAATTATTATTTCTATTATATAATAATAAAAATCACAAATTAAAAATTTAAAGTAAATT